ATAATGACCTTTATCACAATATGCTAATTTTTTGAGAAGGACCTGTATTGTGATCAACTGTATCAAATCCATTACTGAGGTCCAACAGTGACTCAGCAGTTCTATCATGTTATAATTAATTTTTTTATTGAGTTGGCTGCTTTAGCAACTTTAATATTTTATCAAAACTATCTTGATATAGTTTCATGTCTTTGTCCTGTGTTTGTCTTAATTCCACGGTCTCCAGCTGGAGATGGAGGAGAACGAGGCGGTGTATGATCACATGGCCTTCGGTCTGACCCGGAGAAGAATTTGGAACCTGATGGAGAAGCCGTTCTCCTCAATCACTGCCAAGTTGATGGCGGTGGCCTCCTCCATCTTTGTGCTTGTATCACTGGTTGCCATGACACTCAACACTGTGGAGGAGATGCAGTACAAGGTGAGTTTTGTCTCATCTGTCAATGAGCCTTCGGATCTACAGAATTTATTCAATCCTTCTGTTATAGACTCCAACCGGTCAGCCAAGCGGCAGATTCTACGGTGAAAATGTGGAAAAATTCTGCATCGCCTTCTTCACCCTGGAATACCTGCTGCGTCTGGTTTCCACCCCTGATCTGAAGTGTTTTGGCCGTAGCATGCTGAACACTGTAGATCTGATTGCCATCCTGCCTCACTACCTGCAGTTGATCCTGGAGTGCTTCGACGACGAAGACATCCACCGCCATTCTGGGGACATCGAGACCGTTGCGAGTGTTGGAAAGGTAAAAGCAGAACTTGCGTAATCCACTTCATGTACATTTTATCTGTCGTTTTCCAGATATTTCCTTCTGTTTCTCTGTGCAGGTAGGCCAGGTTCTGAGGATCATGCGTCTCATGAGGATCTTCAGGATCTTAAAGCTGGCTCGTCACTCGACAGGGCTCAGAGCCTTTGGGTTCACTCTGAGACAGTGCTACCAGCAGGTCCAACCACCTTACCTAATAACCTAAAACGGAAGTCGTTCAATGAGAAAGATGAGGGTTTGACTTTTTTGATTGCAGACAGACAGAACCCAAGTTTTATTTAATATTCAGCATATTCCAGTTGAACCTGTTCCAGTTTCTGGTTCTTTTACCAATTTTTCAAGTTGTTCTCAATGCTCAATACCAAAGACCTAGTTTCTAGTGTTATTTTTGGCTTAAGATGTGCATCAGGACTGGGTCGTCTTCAACACATTGCTAGGTTCTCTGTGAGCAGAATGTGGTTTTTATATGGTAAGAACCCCGATCCGAGTCCAGGTGGTCGAAGGTCATTGAACAGAGTCCAAACTTTGGAAGGACACTGATCTGTCCCTTATAGAACCAGGCATTTTGCACTTGCCACTTTACAGCCAAGTAGCCCCAGAACATGATGCTACCACCACCATGCTTCACACTGGCTACAGGTAGACTGGCTACTCTGACTGGTAAACGTTCCCTCAGAAGACTTCCTCTTCTGTTTCCCATTTGGAGCTGGGCACCAGCCCAAAGCTTCATCCACCCACCCATCCATCAATGGACTGGGTTTTTGGACCTTTTCCTTATTGATCCAGATCTTTGTTGGAAGAAATGGACCAGAGATCCGTTGTTTGTCGTTTCTTCCGCAGATTCACCTTTTAACAACTACTTTTCTAACGGGTCAAAATTACAATCCCTTGTACGAAATTTTACCCAAATTTTAGCCCTCGTCTCAAGTTACTGATTGTTGCAAACCAGACACGACCCCTTTCTGTTCTGTATCTTGTTGAAATCTTGTAGCACATGTTCCTGCAGGTTGGCTGTTTGCTGCTGTTCATCGGCATGGGGATCTTCATGTTTTCAGCCATGGTGTACAGCGTGGAGCATGACGTCTACAACACCAACTTCACCTCCATGCCCCACACATGGTGGTGGGCCGCGGTGAGTCCACAGACCCATCCAGTTCTAGGTCTTTAACTCTGGTGAACTCACAAATTCTTTATATTCTTCAGGTGAGCATCTCCACTGTGGGTTATGGCGACATGTTCCCAGAGACCAACCTGGGTCGCATCTTTGCCTTCGCCTGCATCTCCTTCGGCATTATCCTTAACGGCATGCCCATCTCAATCCTCTACAACAAGTTCTCCGACTACTACACCAAGCTCAAGTCCCACGAGTACGCCATGGTCAGCAAGGCACGTGGGAAGGTACGCTTCATCAAGAGGGCAGCCAAGAAGTTTGCTGACTATTGCGACGATGCAGTTCAGCCTGAGGAAGATGAGCGGTTTGTGGAGGTCTTTGGCAGGAGACCAAAGTCTGAGCTGCTGGAGTTTTAAATTACTTTTATAAAAAACTTCTAGTGTACGGGATAAAAGCCTCCAACATCCGCTGGACCACAACCTTTCCTTAACCACAGGGCTGAACATTAGTTTCTGGTTGATCTTGGAGCTTCTTGTGGTGTGAGACAATCGTTAGCTCACTTGGACAAATCCTAAAGTGGACATTTGAAAGAAATCACAACCAACTGAACGTCCTGCTTTTAGTCTGATTTAAAAAGGACATCACTACTTCAGCTCAGATTAAAGAAATCTTTTCTTTTAAATTATCTCCACCAAATCTTAATTTCACATCATGTTGTGTTCATTTTACCTCCAAATGTGGAACTTCTCTTGTCCTGTGAAGTGCAAATGACTAAACATCTATAAACTGTTGCCATCTAGCTAGAAATTCAAATCCCTTTTCCAAAAACAAATTATTTTGCACCCGATGCTGAAAACAAAGGTTCACATACTTTTACCATCACAAATATGTAAAATTGGATCATTGTCCTCAATAAATAACAAGTATAATATTTTTCTCATTTAACTGGTTTCTCTTCATCTTCGTTTAGGACTTGTGTGGAAATCTGAGGTTTTAGGTCATATTTATGCAGAAATATAGAAAATTAAAGAGTTCACAAACTTTCAGCACCGCTGTGTGTGAGCTCTGGGGTTTATTATAAAATAATTTCTCCTGTTGACTCGCTCTGGTTCAAATTAAAGAACTGATCAGATAATGTCCAAAACTAACATTCAAGCCGAGTGCACTGAAGCAACCTGTCACTTACCCAGAATGCATTGCAGTGTAAATAAAATGTCATGTTAAAAATTATAAACTGAAATATTGTTTTTATTGCTGAAGTGATCAATTATCATAAAATCTGTTCCAACTAGTCGATCATTTTAATGTCAGTATTGTATTTTATTTTTTTTATGGTGGAATTTCTACAACTTCAGTCGTTTAAAACAATTTGACTGGAACATGAATTTGATTGAAACTGGCTCCATTGTATCCACACGTTCTCCTAGAAGCACTGAAACGTGGTGCAGAAGGTTCTAAACGTCCTGTCGGTCATGATCGACTGCAGCTGGTGGTTTCTCTGGAAGGTTCAAACTGTCCCCCTCCGATAACAGGAAACCAGTTCCAGGAACCATCATGACTCAAGCCTGCCATTAACTGATGTAACTGGGAGCCTGTGTGCACAAGTTTGTTCCACCTCATGTACCACGTGATGCGAATGATAAAACTAACTTGCACTGCTGGAGCGCCAGTAAAGATGGTTTTGTCACCATGGTGACCAAGAAAGAAGCTCCGCCTCCTTCAAGCTGGACTGTCTACATGGACAAGACACAGCTGGGTCCAACAGAACCCTAAACACCAGAACTGGTCTGACTGGACAAAACGGTCTGGCCTCGCATTTAAATGAACTCCAGACGAGCGGTCCAATAACCGTACGAGTACTGGGACTGAACCAGAACCAGACTGGTGTAGGAGACAAAAGGCCCGAGGTCCAGGACTCTGACTGAGGGACCGTGCAGAGAAAATCTGTTCATCATGAAAGTTGTGAAATAATTTCAACCTGAAACGTTCAAATTAATCTGACAAACTTTAATCTATAGATTAAAATGGTGATAAATAATATGAACGGTTCAAAGTGCAAACAAACGAGAAGTTTGTTAAAAAGATCAAAGTTCTCTGGAACTGTTCTGCAGCTTCAGCTCAGTTTTATTTATTTTCAGGTCATGAGAAAATCTGAAGAAAATGACCCAGAACCAGAACCAGAACCCACAGCGACAAACCTGAACATAAAGAAAAAGATTTCACCTTTTATTCACAAACCGATCCAAAGAGAAAACTACTGTTAAAACTTTTATTCTGAAAATTTAAGGAAGTCCAGAACGTGACATTGTGAATTCTCTCCAAAGAACCCAAAGCGGATCTGTTGGTTCTGAAACCGGTCTTCATGTTCTGGTTCTGAGCAGCCCAACTTTTAAATGACAGAACGATTTTCAGAAATTTCAGCTGAAACATTTTAACAACCTGCTGCAACCAACAAGTCCTGGTTCTGGTTTCAAGACAAAAGTCCAACAACGGACTCCGACTCTTCAGGAAGTCCAGAGAACTCAAGACCCGGTTCTACACAAGGCAAGAAAATGGGTAGTGATTAGGATCAGAACCAACTAAATAAACTATGGTGGCAAAAGGTTCTATGGACCGGAAGAACAGGAGTCGTATACAGTCCTGTGGAGACACGAACTCCAGGTCCAACAGAGAAGGGAGTCCAGCAGAACCAGGGGTTCCACAGCTCAGCTGGGAGGGGTCCTGATCCTCCGGGGCTCAGGGAGGGGTCCTGATCCTCCGGGGTCCAGGTCCTCCAGGGCTCAGGGAGGGGTCCTGATCCTCCGGGGTCCAGGTCCCCCGGGGCTCAGAGAGCAGCCAGCTCCAGCTGCAGCCTCTCCTTCTCCCTCTGCAGGTCCAGGACACTCTGCCGGTTCTGGTCCAGCCGGTCCTCCAGCCACTGCAGCAGCGGCCCGCTGACCGCCGACATCTGGCTGCACAGGTTCTTGGTGAACACCGAGCCGTTGTGGATCTTGGTGACCGGGTCCAGGTGGGCCAGGCTGTGGATCTTGCGGTACGTGTCCTGCTCCTCCTGGCACAGGATCCGGGGCAGCTCCACGGCAGACTCCAGACACTCCTTCCCGATGGCCCCGCGCGGAACCACGTGCACGGGGATCTCCACTCGCTCGTACTCGGAGCCCTTCTGCGCCTGCGCGGACTGGAAGCAGGTGTAAAGGACCCGGCCGGTCCTGGTGTTCTTGTCCTCGATGAAGCAGGAGAAGATGAGGCCCACGAAGCACCGGTCCAGCATCTGGTACATGGCCTGGGTCCGGACGTCCACGTGCGAGGGCCACACGGTGATGTGCGGGTGGGAGTGGTACCAGCCGACCACCCTCATCGGCCTCCCGGTGGTGTCGGCCAGCCGCTCGGCTTCGGTGGAGGCGGCGGACAGCTGCTCCGGGGAGATCTCCACCCGGTCCTTCCTCTTGTCGGAGCGGCGGAGGATGATGACGGAGCGGACGTGGACGAGCCGGGACTCCTCCACCTCCCCGATACACAGACCCATCACCTCCTCCTTCTCCGTGCTCAGCGCGTGGTTCATACACACCAGGAAGGCGTCGGACTCGAGATGGACCGAACTCACCGCCATGATTCGGATTTCAAACTGAGAAAGAACCAGGAAAACAAACAACCGGAGCACAGACTCACTTCCGGGTTGTTCTTCTTCGGTGTTTTGCCGCAGGTTAAAGCTTTAACAGCGCCACCTGCTGGCTGAGCCGTCTACTGCAGGGCAAAACAAAAATCAAACGATCACATTTTTCTTTCAACTATTTATGCAGGTTACCGAGTCACGAGGACTCATTTTCAAGAGAGACCTGTTTTAGAAAGACAACATATAATGCACAGACAACAATAAATAGTAGTGTTATAATAATCAATTCAAGGTGCCATATAAAACAAGATAAAATATTCAAAACAAGAACATGTTTGCTTAGATTTTTCCAATGGCCTTATCAAATGTTTAAAACCCCTTAAAGAAATCAAAGTAGACGGCTTCAGATCTTGTTCTAAGGTGTTCCAGGTTACAGGAGCAGAGTAAGAAAAGACATTTTTGCCAAGTTCAGTCTGCAATGAGGGAACGCTGCAGATAATGAAGGCCTGACGGCGCACGCTGTAACTGCACTGACGTGACATGTGGGAGGAGGTATAAGAAGGCAGCAGACCAAGAAGGGGTTTATAGATGAAGATAAACCAGTGTGATATTTACTGTGCACATTAATTTATCTTAAAATACTTTGTGGATTTTATTGTATTTTAGTTCACCTGAAATGCTTTAATTCTTTAAACGTGTTAAGCATTTTGGTCGAGCAGAGTTGGTTTTATTAAAATACGTTTTAGAAATTAACTTTAAAAATCTTACCTGTTATAGATCACACTTTGAATTTAGAGAGGAAACATTAATTTTCTCTTTTTTTTACAGAAACGAGTAAACTTTTAAAACAGCAGACCAAAAAAAAAAAAAAAAAAGAGATGTTTGTGACTTTCAGAAGCAGCAAAAACATCTACACCCCCTGAACATAGGAGGATCGGTGGTGGGAGTGGTCTCCAGCTACAAGTACTTGGGTGTGCACATGAATGACAACCTCAGCTGGTACAACACTTCCAGCCTGATCAAGAAAGCTCATCAGAGACTCTACTTCCTCAGGCGGCTGAGACGAGCTGGTCTGGGAAGCTCAGTCCTCACCACCTTCTACAGGTGTGCAGTGGAGAGCATCCTGTGCTCCAGCATCAACGTGTGGCATGGAGGCTGCACAGCTGCAGAAAGAAAAGCTTTGCAGAGAGTGGTGAAGGCTGCACAGAAGTCTGTTGGAGTCAGTCTCCCCACCATCACAGACATCTACACCTCCAGATGCAGGAAGAGGGCTACCTGCATCATGAAGGACCACACTCACACTTTTTGCTCCGCCGTTTTGTCCTCTGTGAATTACAACATTATATCACATTAAAATGTATCTAAATAACAAACAGAAATAATACAGACCAGTTTTAAAACTTTTGTGGCCCACAAAAATTGTGTTCCCCTTATTTTTAAGACAACTATTAATTTTTATAACAAATGTGATTAATAATGGGACAGAGTCTGTGCTTTTTTTTTTTTAATAAACTTTTTATTTAATCAAAAGTTGATCCTGGCAATAATACACAAATGGAATAATCTGTTGCACAGTAACTGAAATGAGTGCATAAAAAATAATCGATACAAAAATATATTGCACTTGGTAATGTGAAGATTTAGGAGGAAGAATTCACGTTTGAACATTCAACATTTGATGTTTTTCTCTGTAAACAGTTTCAGTTTTAGCCCAAAGCTTCAGAGAAACTCACTTTCAGCTCCGAGGAGGCACCAACAGGAGACTGCTGGGTTCCAGTTGAGCTTTATTACATTGTTTATGCACGCACACGCACACACACACACACACACACACACACACACACACACACACACACACAGCCCTTGTGGTGGTCACTAAATGTGACGCAGTTGTTTTGATCTCCCAGTACGGTCAATCTTTGTTCAGAAACATTTCCAGCTGCAGATCGGTCTCGCAGGTTTCCATCCCGTCATGTCGTTACCAGAATCCACTGGAACCAGTATGGACCTCAAAACCGTCACAACATGTGCAAAAATTCACTGAGGCAGCAGAAGGTGTCCTCTGGACGGATCCTTGTGTTTTGGAAACAAGATACAGGTACATCCAGCATGAATCTGGACCATCTCATCTACTGGTTCCCCGTTAGGCCCTGGGTCAGTGACGGTCCAGCCGTATCCATGGCGACGTAAAGATGGATGAGAAGCTGGCAGTTTGGGCCATTGTTGTCCTGTTTGTTCGGAAGTTTGAGCCCGAGTCTCTCAGCGAGATGGACACATGCTGGGTCTCCTGACGTCAGCAGTCCCACAAACCTCTGGAGGTTCAGGGTTCAGGTCCACCTGAAGGACAAGTGGGACAAAATGACATCAGCTTCTGATTGAACGTTCAACAAAAAGCCGAGAACGTGGAGCTGGAATGGTGCAGGATTTAAAGTCTGAATGGTTCCAGTGCACAGGAGGAAGATGAAGATAGCATCAATAACTTAATGGAAGGCTACTGTATTTTAACCAGCCGTGTTACCGGCACTGTTCAGAAAAAACATTTACTGGAAGTATTTGTTTGTTTTACCAGCATGTATTTAATTAAAAGTCTAAAAAAAAATTTCTGTGTAAATATCTCGTTACAACGTCGACACCTTCAGCTTATAGACAAGCGCAGCCTATACAGGTGCTGGTCATAAAATTAGAATATCATCAAAATGTTTATTTCAGAAATTCCATTCAAAAAGTGAAACTTGTATATTATATTCATTCATTACACACAGACTGATATATTACAAATGTTTATTTATTTTAATGTTGATGATTATAACTGACAACTAATGAAAATCTCAGAAAATTAGAATTTAGTGAAAAGGTTCAATAATGAAGACACCTGGTGCCACAGTCTAATCAGATAATTAACTCAAAACACCTGCAAAGGTCTTTAAATGGTCTCAGTCTAGTTCTGTAGCTACACAATCATGAGGAAGACAGCTGACTTGACAGTTGTCCAAAAGACGACCAGTGACACCTTGCACAAGGAGGGCAAGACACAAAAGGTCATTGCTAAAGAGACTGGCTGTTCATAGAGCTCTGTGTCCAAGCACATTAATAGAGAGGTGAAGGGAAGGAAAAGATGTGGTAGAAAAAGGTGTACAAGCAATAGGTGCCATGTCATTTGATGGTGTTGGTCCACTGTGTTTTCTGAGGTCAACACAGCCGTCTACCAGGAAGTTTTTGAGCACTTCCTGACCAACTTTATGGAGATGCAGATTTCATTTTCCAACAGGACTTGGCACCTGCACACAGTCCCAAAGCTACCAGTACCTGGTTTAAGTACCATGGTATCCCTGTTCTTAACTGTCCAGCAAACTCACCTGACCTTAACTGCATAGAAAATCTGAGGTATTGTGACGAGGAAGATGTGATACACCAGACCCAACAATTCAGAAGAGCTGAAGGCCACTATCAGAGCAACCTGGGCTCTCAGAACACCTGAGCAGTGACACAGACTGATCCACTCCATGCCACGCTGCATCGCTGCAGTAATCCAGGCAAAAGGAGCAACAACTAAGTATTGATGCTGTACATGCTCATACTTTTCATGTTCATACTATTCAGTTGGCCAACATTTCTCAAAATTCTTATTTTAAATTGGTCTTAAGTAATATTCTAATTTTCTGAGATATTGAATTTGGAGTTTTCATTAGTTGTCAGTTATAATCATCAACATTAAAAGAAAAAAACATTTGAAATACATCAGTCTGCGTGTAATGAATGAACATAATATACAAGTTTCACTTCCATCCATCCATCTATTTTCTTTTACCCGCTTCTTCCATTTTGGGTCACGGGGGTCGCTGGTGGCCATGTCCAGCAATCACTGTGCGAGGGGCGGGGTACACCCTGGACAGGTCGCAAGTCCATCACAGGGACAAGTTTCACTTTTTGAATGGAATTACTGAAATAAACTTTTTCATGATATTCTATTTTTATGACCAGCACCTGTAGATGTACAACCTTTTATTTAGTGGGTGTGGCTTATATTTAAGTGCACTCAATAGTCCGGAAATTACGGTTCTTATTGTAAGTTTACTGTAATCATCTTAGTGCATTAGTTCATGTGTTAATGAAGTTGAGGACGCCAAGACCATTGTGGTTTGTAAAATGACCAAAGGAGCTGATGGAGCTGGGCCGTTCATTTGAAGAGTCCAGAAGGTCTGTCCAGAGGACCACTGAACGCTTCACATCGTGTGAGAAGTGTGTGCGTGAGTTTCTGTGTACCTCAGAGTAGAGAGGAGGAGGCAAATATCTGAACTCTGAGATGTATGTCAGCAGAGACCCCTGGTCTTCCCCCTCACAACCACGCAGACAGTCCTGCCTGTATGACTCAGATATTGCCAGCTCGTTGTAGCTCGGCGGCGCTGCAAACGACAACAGACTTCAGAGAGTGCACACCAGGAAGAACAATCTGCTCGATGGGCTTTTAGGACCCACCTTCAGGTCTTTCAGGCAGGCCCAGCCAGCTCACAGGGCTGCAGTTGCTGCTGATACTGAAGGAGCGGGGGGAGGACGTATGAAGAGGGATGGTCCCGATCACCAGTGGCAAAGAGAGCGACAGGTTCAGCCCACCAGGAACGTCTATGTACACCTGGGAGGGAAATGATTTGATGTTTCACCTGTTTTCTTGTCACAACATCAAATTTATCACTTTACTCAACACTGGCACCTTGTTTCCATATCTTTACTCAACACTGGCACCTTGTTTCCATATCTTTACTCAACACTGGCACCTTGTTACCGTATCTTTACTCAACACTGGCACCTTGTTTCCATATCTTTACTCAACACTGGCACCTTGTTACCATATCTTTACTCAACACTGGCACCTTGTTTCCATATCTTTCTCAACACTGGCACCTTGTTTCCATATCTTTCCTCAACACTGGCACCTTGTTACCGTATCTTTACTCAACACTGGCACC